AATTCCCATGCCAGTTCATCTATAGGAGAAAGGTTTAACAGTCTGCTTCTGTCAAGATGTGTAGTCTCGGAAACCCTATGGGGCAGTTCTGCCTTGCTATATGAGTTAGATTGAATTCAGTGGCAGTGGTTTTGGTTTTCTTCATGAAACAAGTTTCATTTAAAAAAACATTTTGGAATTTCTGCTCTTCAATATAAAGTCCAAATTCTCTTTAATAGCATTCATGGCCTTTCACAGTTTGGCTAAACTGACATCACAGTTTGTCAACTCTTGACGCTCTTCATCCCTTCACTGGATACCTTTGGATCCTGTATCCCATTCCTCAAGGATTCTCTTTCCTTCCATCTCTATTTCCAGCTCACTCAAGGTTTGTCCTCCCCACCTCAGTTAGGGAGTCACCCCTCTTCTTACTTTCAGTGTAGTGTTTATCCCAGGTACAGCAGTTGTCTGACTTCCTGCGAGCCGCCAACTCCTGAGGTCGGACCAGGGTCTCACAAACTGACCTAGATACTGTAAGTTTGTTAAATGAATGAGTTGAATGTTTGTTTGTTTTTTTTTTTAGTCAATTCTGTATCCTTTCATGTGTTAACTATATTCTGATGGAGTAAAAACTGCAGAAAGAAGGCTCTGACTTCCTCCTATCCTGCATGGAGCCTCCATGCCCTACGTGAATACTGCCTGTCACACCGCTGGCTTTTCCTACTTGTTCCTCTCCAGAACTCTCTGCAGTGTCTGATCTTCTGCAGCGTGGGCTGCCCCAGATAAGCAGCAGGGGCCCTGAAAACCTTGTCCTCCTGTCTGAACGCCAGTATGTGGAGAGAGCTGCTCGTGAGAAACAGTACTGCATCCTACTCCTCTTCTACCTGGCCTACATCCACGAGGACAGGTCAGTGCTCAGAGCTGGCAGGGCGAGAGGGGTATTAGACCTGTGTCTGCAGTATGGTTCAGTTCAACAGATATGTGCGGATGTGTCCTCTGGGGACACAGAGGTATGTGGCTAATGAGCTGTGTCCACTGGGGGTTCATTTCATATCTTGAAAGGGAAGTGAGATGGTATGTAGACTCAGTGCTGAGAGAAGCCCAGAGTGCTAGTGAAAGCTCTTTGATATCCTTTTGGTTAACAGGGCAACACTCTAAAGGCATGGCATCGGAGCACATTATTTAATATCCTGGGAGGTAGAGATTGCCCATGGTTTACTTTAAAGAGTTACTATACAATTTACAAGGAGCCCTGGTGGCACAATGGTTAAGTGCTTAGCAGTTAAGCAAAAGGTTCCGGGTTTAAGCCCACAAACAGCTCTGCAGTAGAAAGATGTGGCAATCTGATCCTGTGAGGTGACAGTCTTAAGATTCTCTGTCTGGGCTCTGTCCTGTAGAGTCACTGGGAGCCAGAATTGATTCAGCCACAGTGGCTTTTTGGAAAAAATGCAATCTATTAAAATTGTAAACCTAAAGGACTATTTTTCTTATACTTTTAAATTTGGTTTCTGAACTATTCTGCTTATAAATATAATAATTACATTATGATGTTTTTTCATACTTGATCCCTTTCTTAATCTTAAATATTTCAGATTTCTTTTGTAAATTAAGTATGTCTGTTTCATATTCTAAGAACTTAATTCGCTGACATAACTTCCCTAGTTGTCATTGTTATTATATGCCATCAAATAGCTTGCTACTCATAATAACCCTATGTACAAGAGCCCTAAACCCTGCTCTATCCTGTGCTAACCTTACTGTCTCTGACACACCTACCCCCATGACTCAGTTATTGAATCGATCCATC